TAGACCCCTGCCACTCATGTGGGAGACCTGGATGAAGCTCTCGGCCTCTAGTTGTGGCCTGGCCTGGCATGGAACAACTGAGTACCGTGCAAAGAATGTAGCTGGGCCCCTCCCTTATTTCACTGATTATAAAAAATTAACTCAAAATTTCTCACAGACCTAAATAGAAGAGCTCAAATTATAAAACTCTTACGACAAAATACAGGATTAAATCTTTTTTTTTTAAAAAAGACTTATTTTATTTATTTGAAAGACAGAGTTAGAGAGGTAGAGACAGATGGCCGCAACCGCTGGAGCTGTGCTGATCCAAAGCTAGGGACCAAGAGCTTCTTCCGGGTCTCCCATGTGGGTGCAGGGGCCCAAGCACTTGGGCCATGTTCCACTGCTTTCCCAGGTCATAGCAGAGAGCTGGATCGGAAGAGGAGCAGTCGGGACTTGAACTGGCTCCCATATGGGATATTGGCGCTCCAGGCCAGGGCTTTAACCTGCTGCACCACAGGATTAAATCTTAACTCTGAGCTAGGCAAGGGTTTCGTAGGTATCGTACCAAAGCACAAGCCACAGACAAAAACAGATAAATTAGATTTCATAAAATTAAAAACTTTTGGCAGCAGGTTAAACTCCTACCTGCTATGCTGGCATGTGAGTGCCCATTTGAGTACCGGCTGCTCCATTTCCAATCCAGCTTCCTGCTAATGAGCCTGGGAAAGCAGCAGAAGATGGTCCAAGTACCAGGGGTCGCTGCAACTCATGTGAGAGAACTGGATGGAGTTCTAGGCTCCTAGATTCAGCCTGACCCATCTCCAGCCATTGGGGCCAGAGTGGTTGGAAGATTCTCTCCCCCATCCCCTTCAACTCTGCCTTTCAAATAAATAATCCTTTTTCAAAAAAGTTAAAAACATTTGTGCATAAAGGGACATTATCAAAAAACTGAAAATGCAAATAATGAAAAAATATTTACAAAACATGCATGTGGCAGGATTCTATTATAAAGAATATACAAAGTACTCCTACAATTCAACAATAAAAATAACCAATTTAAAAGTAGACAAGGACACAGCAGATATATAAAATCATCAAAAACATGAAAATAATGTTCAACATTAATTACTAGCAAAATGCAAATTAAAACTAGTAGGATAATTATAAGAAAACAAACCTAGTAAGATGGGGCAGGAGTTTGGCAAAGTAGTTAAAACACTGCTGTGGACGCCTGGGTCCCACACTGGAGGTCAGAACTGTGCTTGCAGCTAGTGGGCACTCTGGAAGAAGGCGACAGCTTACGTAGTCAGGCCCCTGCCACCTGCCTGGGAAACCTAAGTTGAGATTCTGGCTCTGGCATCTGGGAAGTGAACGTGTGGATAACAGGTCTGTCTCTGTTTCTTTCTCAAATTAAACAAACAAGCAATAATAACAAAAAACCCTAATGCAACGTGTTGGTGAGGAGGGATATGGTAATGCAATCCTACATTCCTGAAATGTGCAAAGATGCAAGTGTGTGGAAAATGAGGAGTGCAGCAGTTCTTCACGAAGTTAAAGAGGGATTTATCATATGACCTAGCAACTCCATTCTCGACTTGGAAGAAATGAAACCAATCACATGTATACCCCAAAATTAGTATGCAATATTCACACCAAAACTATTCACAATAGCCAGAAGATAGAAGCAAATCAATCATGAACAGATAAATGGATACATAAAATGTGGTATATCCATACACTGCAACATTATTCAGGTATAGAAAAGAACAAATTATTAATACATGCTACACCATAAATGAACCCTGAAAACATCCTCCTAAGTGACGGCAGCCAGAAGCATCATATGAAGCATCTAGAAGTGGTCGATCCACGGATACGAGAAGATAATTAGTCACCGGTGGCTGTTGTGGGGGTAGAGAGTAATGGGTAATGTCCTAGAACTAGAGGGTAGCGGTTTCTGTACAACATTGTGAACACATTAAATGTCAGAAGTTAATGTTAGAGTAAAAAACACAAAGGGCCTATATATGATTCTCTTTATTACAGAATATCCAGAATAGGCAAATCCACATAGTCAGAGAAGAGATCAGTGGTTGCCAGAAGCTCAGGCAAGGCGAAGTGACTGCCAATGAGTATGAAGTTTCTTTTTGGTGTGTTGAACATGTTTTAAATAAGAAAGTAGTGATGGTTGCACAATCTTGTGAATACATTAAAAACTACAAATTGTATACCTTAAAAGGGTTAACTTATGGTATGTGAATTTAACTCAATTCAAAAAGCTTGAACCACAATTACAGAACTGAAGGCTCATATAAAATCAACTCAAGTCTGACATCTTAAAAAGGAACTGGGAACTAGGGGAGCAAAGGTGATTATCCATGATGCTACACTAGGGCTGGGATCAGTACACAAGATATTTCTACCTCAGTTCTCAGACATCACAAAATAAAAAAATTTTTAAATCTGTAACAAAAAGATTTATTCATAAGATACAGTCTTTCAAGTGCCTTTAAATGTTACTTTATTTATTTTTTTAAGATTTATTTATTTATTTGAAAGGCAGTTACAGAAAGAGTGATCCTCCATCTGCTAGTTCACTCCCCAAATGGCCGCAATGGCCAAGGCTAGGCCAGGTTGAAGCCAGGAGACAGGAGCTTTTTCTGGGTCTCTCATGTGAGTGCTTAGGCCCAAGGACTTGGGCCATCTTTTGCTGCTTTCCCAGGTGCACTGGCAGGGAACAAGATCAGAAACGGAGCAGTAGGGACTCAAACTGCTGCCCATATAGGATGCTAGCACTGCTGACAGCAGCTTAACCCACTACCCTACAGTGCTGGCCCCTCAACTCTTTCTAAGCTCCAAAACTTTGACTTTTAATCATTAGCAATAATTTTGTTAAAACAGTAACCTGATATTTTAACAAGCATTTTTAGTAGTCAAAAATTTGCTCATTTCTCCCTCAATTTAATACATTTCAGAGATTTAATTAAATACTAGTTAATCAGGCTTTAGAGAACCTCATAGTACCCAATTTTTGAAATTTGGAGTCAACTTTGAAATGCTTTCAACTTATGTAAAACAATAATGGACTATATTTTACATTGTGTTTTTCGAAAGTTGGACAGTCCTACCATCTACAGCTGAGTGCCTCTGTTACCTCCCCTTGAATCTGGCCAGAATTTTGACTGTTTCAACCAACAGAGGATGGAGGAAGTAACTTTCAGAAATTCCTGACCCCAAAAATTTTTGTGCTGATTAAAATCATTTTTATGTTATGTCTCTTCGTTTCGAGTAGTGTGTTATACAACAAAGATAATTAGAACAGAATGTGCTATTTATAATATAGAAATAAGAAGCTTTTACTTATTTATTTATTTGAAAGTCAGTTACAGACAGGAAGAGACAGAGAAAGAGAGATCTTGCATCTGCTGGTTCATGCCTCAGATGGCTGCAATGGCCACCGTAGGCCAGGCCAAAGCAATGAGCAAGAGATTCTTCCAGACCTTCCCATGTGGGTGGCAGGAGTGCAAACACTTGGGCCATCTTCCGCTGCCTTTCCCAGGAAGTAGAGCAACTGAAACACAAACTGGAGTCCATACAGGATGCTAGCTTAGCAGGTGGAAGCTTAACATAGTGTGTGCTATGCCACAACACACTAAACTAAGCAACTCTTGGTGCCCAAGGGTTACTCTCTCTGCAGAACTCTATAATTATATACTTTCCCCTCCAAAAAAAGAGAAGGAAAAATATATGTATGTAAACATATTTTTTAAAAAGCAGCAAAGAAAATGATTTAATCACCTAAAAACATAACCTATTATTCTAGTATGTTACAGAATTCAAAATGCCCCCAAAGGACAACATGCAAATGATAAATATATTAGTTCAGGCTTGTATAAACTATATGACTTAATATTTGGATTCAACTCCAGACATTTTATCCTGAATGGTCTTGCCTTTAATAGCGTCAATCCTAAAGCTGATTAAAATAACCTAGATTGGGCTGTTCTTGTGTTCTTAACACGGCACGTTAAGCCACCACCTGTGATGTCACATCCCAGCTGCTCTACTTCTCATCTAGCTCCCTGATAATGTGCCTGAGAAAGCAACGGAAAATGGTCAAGTGCTTGGATACTTGCCACCTATGTGGGAGACCTGGATGAAGTTCCTGGCCTTGGCCTGGTCCAGCCCTAGCCGTTGCAGCCATCTGGGGAGTGAACTAGTAGATGGAAGATCTCTTACTCTAACAGTGCCTTTCAAACAAATAAATAAATCTTAAAAAAAAAATTACCTAGGTTGTCTTTATTAACAACAGGTCTCGCTTTGTGGATAACTTGAAAGTTTCCTATACTGACTTATTGGGCTTTGGGCATTTTAGCTCTTAAGTTACGAACAAATCCTGGCTCTGCATATGCCTACTGCACAATCTTAAACAAATGTAACAACTTTCCTGGGCCTTATCTGTGTCTAACTATCAGAATGATTCTTAAGGATTAAATGAGAGAAGACATGAAAGTGCTGAGCATGGCAGGCATAACAGAAACATAATACCTCTGAAATCTAACTTAAGGACTCCAGACAATTACTTAGTAACAGCAAAACATGGATTTTAGAGTTATATTCTGTAATTTTTAAAGTAAACTATTAAAACACATAAGCATACTGGGGTAAGCACTTGGCACAGTGGTTAAGACACCACTTCCTAGTGCCTAGGTTCACGTCCCAGCTCTGCTCCACATTCTAGCATCCTGCCAACTGTACATCACCGGAGGCAGAAGGTGAGAGCAAGCTGTTGGGTCCCTGCTACCTACATGGGAGAACTGAGTTCTTGGCCCCAAGATTTGGTGTGGGCCATATCTGTTGAAGCAATCAGGACATCAACCAGTACGTAGACTTCCGCTTATCTGTCTTTCTGCCTTTGAAATAAACTAATAATTTTTTAGAAAAAAAACTTTAGGATAATATGAAATATAACATCAATTTATGCTAGAGTAACTTTAGTAACAGAGAAAGTTATTTACCTTGATCAAATATTTTTCCCATCTGTCTGCTGTAACAGATTTGCCAATCTTCCTCATCAACTTCAAGTGGAGTTCCACCAATTCTTTTGGTACTTAAAAGAAAGGAAAAAAAACTCTGTTAGCCAGCAAAACAAAACATTTTAAAAATATTTTTTAAAAAACACAAACTTTCCCCAACCCTAAAAATTTCTTAAAAATAGATGCTGATTCTAGCTTTTAGATCTCTGAATCAGAAAAGCCTAGAGTAATATATGACTGAAAACAATTTTAAGAGCAGCAAGTATATTTGTATTTTCTACCAAAGTAACAAGAAGTAAAAGTGAAATTTAATGTAAAGTATAGATTGCGTGAAAATGACATGTCTATGTAGGCTCAACGATTATAGCATCGTATCACTAAAGTGCAGGATGCCCATGGCAGGGCAGGCTGTGCATGTGAGGGGATAAGGGACGTGTAGGTGAAACTCTGAACTTTGACTTAATTTTTCTGTAACCCAAAAACCACTCTAAAAATGTGTACGGAGTAGGCATTTGTCTAGTGGTTAGGTTACCCACACCCCTACTGGAATACCTGGGTTCAACTCCTGGCTCTGGTTCCTGACTCCAGTCTCCTGCCAGTGCAGACTCTGAGAGGTAGTGGTGATGGCTCAAGTAATTGGGTTTCCTGCCACCCACATGAGAGACCTGGTCTGAGTTTCTGGCTCCTGGCTTCGGCCCCAGCCCAGCCCCAGCCACTGCAAGCATTTGGGTAGTAAACCAGCAGACAGAAGCGCGTGCGCGCTCTCTCTCGCTCGCTCTCTCTCTCTGCCTCTCAAATTAAAAAAAAAAAGTAAAAATAAATAAATAAATAAATTTGAGAATTCTATTTTTTTAAAAAATCATTAAGTAAAAGCATTTAACTATACAACTGAAAATTCTAATCTGGTTGTTTCCTCTACTAAGATTTCAGACCAAGATATAGATTGAAAGCATTAGAAAGGAACAAAGGAATACAAATTCCAAGCTGATGGATATCTCAGAAATAGAGACTCGTGGTTTTCAGACTGTTTCAACAAACTGTTCCTCCAATGTGGCCTTTTTCTGATGTGCTAAACTTCTTTACAGCATTCCTATCGATCTCTCCTTGACAATCTCCACAGACAAAAAAATTATTCACATTCCAAATGCTAGTTCAATTTTCTGTGCAGCAAAGCTACCCTTACTCTAAATAAAAAATCTGCCTTCCTACAATTTCCTCCCCTAGTTCTGACTCTCATTCTAAAGTTTAAAAAACAGCATTTTTAATCATTTTTCAACATGGGATCCTTCAAGTATTAGAAGACTGGTGTATCTGTCCGCAGTATCTCTGTTTCTGATTGTAAACAGACTCCCTCCAAATGGGCATGATACGATTATGTTTTAAAATTACATTAATTAGACCTGAGAGAAATAAAGAACACACATCTGTCAAATTTAGCACTTTACAAATCCCAAATACTACTAGTAACCCAAAAGAAATTACAAGTACCCTATACACAAAATTTCCATAATCAAATATATTTGAAAAATGCTAAGTAAAAAAAAAAAAAAAAAACTAAAGTTTTGTAAGCAGGACTTCTGAAACTCTACTGATTTCCCTACAGCACACCATGAGCATCCGAGACAGTGATATAATCTGCAGTATTCCGTAATATATTTCATCCATTATCGTGTAGGGAACAAAGGCTCTACGGAACACTCAAGTTGGAAAAGGATGGTCTGTGGGGAAAGGATGGTCTAACTTTTTTTCAGTCATTTGTTCAGACGCTTATCCCCCACTAAAACTCCTTATAACTTGAAACAATTCTAAAGTACATAAATAGTCACTACTCAATAAATTTCTTTGGCCTGTTATTGGCCAGTAAGAAATAGTTCCTAGCTTTAATGAGCCTTTGTAAGTGAGTCTTCTTAGTGGGGTAAAATGGTGGGAGGGGGCAGGGGAGGAGAGGGGTCACACACGAGTAAACACAGTTACACTAAGACTTGAAAAAAGGAGTTAAGAATGGAGAAAAGAGGAAAAGGGCACTGCTTGTAGAAACAACACTTCCAATCCAGCTCCCTGCTATTACGTCCAGGAAAGCAGTGGAAAATGTTCCAAGTGCTTGAGACCCTGTGACCCATGGGAGAAAACCAAGATGGAATTACAGATCCTGGCTTTGGGCTGGCCCAGCTTAGTCTAATGCTGCCATTTGGGGAGTGAATCAGCAGACCAGAGGTCTCTGTCTCTCCCTCACTATAACTATGACTTTTAAATCAATCAATCAGTCAATCAATCTATCTATCTAGGGACCAGTATCTATCTATCTATCTATCTATCTATCTATCTATCTATCTATCTAGGGGCCAGTATTGTTATAGCGGGTTAAGCTGCCGCCTGTGATGCTAGCATACCACGTGGGGTGTCCCAGCTGCTCCACTTCTGATTCAGCTTCCTGTTAATGCACCTGGGAAGAAGATGGCCAAGTGCTTGGGTCCCTGCCACCTATGTGGGAGACCAGGAAGAAGCTCCTGGCTCATGGCTTCAGCCTGACCCAGTTCAGACTGTTGCAGCCATTTGGCAAGTGAACCAGATGTAAGATCTCTCTCTCCCCCCCTCTCTCTCCCTTTCTCTGTGTAACTCTACCTTTCAAAAAAATTAAATCTTTAAAAAATAAAATAACTTTGTAAAAGAACTGAACCTCAACTTCTCTATCTGTAAGAAAAGGCTTTGTTCACTATCTCAGAATTTTGAAACTACAAAGACTTATTTCTGTTCACAATTTTTGAGAACCAAGGTCACATTCAATTTCTTCTTTTTCTCAAACACAGTAGTCTTGATGGTTCTCCTTTTCCACATCTCAAACCTACTATTCCTTCCAATTTCTCTAATATATTACATATCTTCTCACTCCAGAAAAATAGCTATGGATAGCCTCCAGTAACCAAACCAATCTTTCCAGAAATACTTCTTTTGTGTTACTTCTCCCTTGTATATACTGATAGTTCTTAAAGATCAGGCCGGCGCAATGGCTCAATAGGCTAATCCTCTGCCTGCGGAGCCAGTACCTCAGGTTCTAGTCCTGGTCGGGGCACCAGATTCTGTCCCAGTTGCTCCTCTTCCAGTCCAGCTCTCTGCTGTGGCCCCAAGAAGGCAGTGGAGGACGGTCCAACTGCTTGGGCCCTGCACCTGCATGGGAGACCAGGAGGAAGCACCTGGCTCCTGGCTTCGGTTCAGTGTGGGGCGCCGGCCGCAGCATGCCAGCCACAGTGGCAACTGGGGGGTGAACCAAAAGAAAAGGAAGACCTTTCTCTCTGTCTCTCTCTCTCTCACTGTCTAACTCTGTGTGTCAAAAAAAAAAAAAAAAAAAAAAAAAAAAAAAACACACCTATATTAGCTCATCCATATTTCTCACCTTAGCCTCAGAGTCTCAATATTCCGTCTCAATCTAACTCTCCAGTCCTTCTCTCTTACTTCTACACTGAAATCCTTGATACAAAGCATTTGGCCCGTTTACTACATGGGCTACATGAAAGCCCTCCAGCTTACTGTTCTCTACTCACTTGAATCATATTCATCTTTCAATGTCTGGGAAACACAAGTCCTAAAAGTCTCTGTGACGGCTTTTCAAAACCAGCGTCTCCTTTGTCTTTGGAACATCATTTTCATATGTTCTTTATCACTCACTTAGCTCCATGCCTCCCACATCGTACAGATAAATGGAATCACAAGATATTTTGATACCACTGGTGCTATTTTTTAAAGCCAATACAGGACAAAAACACATGTGCAATGAATGTTTTTAGATCCCACTTTATACTTTATACATGCTGATTTTGGCTTTGTACACCACTGTCCAAAGGCAATATAAAGTGAGCCACATAATTTCAAATGTCCCAGTAGCATTTTGTATTCATAAAAATACAAAGAAATTTAAATTAACTTTAATATATTTAACACTATACAGTACTACATAAAATGCCATCATTTCTTTTTTTTTTTAACTTTTATTTAATGAATATAAATTTCCAAAGTACAGCTTATGGATTACAATGGCTTCCCCCCCCCAAAACTTCCCTCCCACCCGCAACCCTCCCCTCTCCCGCTCCCTCTCCTCTTCCATTCACATCAAGATTCATTTTTAATTATCTTTATATACAGAAGATCAATTTAGCATATATTAAGTAAAGATTTCAACAGTTTGCACTTACACAGAAACACAAAGTGTAAAGTACTGTTTGAGTACTAGTTATAGCATTAATTCACATTGTACAACACATTAAGGACAGAGAGCCTACATAAGGAGTAAATGCACAGTGACTCCTATTGTTGACTTAACAAATTGACACTCTTGTTTATGGAGTCAGTAATCACCCTAGGCTCTTGTCATGAGTTGCCAAGGCTATGGAGGCCTTTTGAGTTCACCAACTCCGATCTTATTTAGATAAGGTCATAGTCAAAGTGGAAGTTCTCTCCTCCCTTCAAAGAAAGGTACCTCTTTCTTTGATGATCTGTTCTTTCCACTGGGATCTCACTTGCAGAAATCTTTCATATAGGTTGTTTTTTGTTTTTTGTTGTTGTTGTTTTTTTATTTTGCCAGAGTGTCTTGGCTTTCCATGCCTAAAATACTCTCATGGGCTCTTCAGCCAGATCTGAATGCCTTAAGGGCTGATTCTGAGGCCAGAGTGCTGTTTAGGACATCTGCCATTCTATGAGTCTGCTGTGTATCCCGCTTCCCATGTTGGATCGTTCTCTCCCTTTTTTTTATTCTATTGGTTAGTATTTGCAGACACTAGTCTTGTTTATGTGATCCCTTTGACTCTTAGTCCTATCATTATGATCAACTGTGAACAGAAATTGATTGCTTGGACTAGTGAGATGGTAAAATGCCATCATTTCAACATATAATCAGTAATTAAAATTGAAATATTTTATCTGTTATATTTTGTGTAGTTTACGCTGACAGCACATCTTAATTCATACTGGTCACATTTCAGGTGTTCAAGAGCCATATGTGCCTAGTGGTTACTGTATTGGATAACACTGGATAATACACAACTAACCCACAGTGTACTAATTAAATTTTTGGACCAGATATTAGAAGGTGATAAGTGTTAAAGGCATTAGCAGCTCTTAATTTGACAAGAAACAGGCAAGACCTTTAATTGAGAACTGAATCAACATTGAAGTTTAATAAATATTAAAATTGCTACACTTTGTACTCTCCACAGCAGCACTATTTAACAGAGCATTCCAGAATGCTGCAAATGTTCTATAACCGCACTTTCCAACAGAGTAGCCATTTGGGCACATGTGATTATTGAACACTTGATATGTGGCTAATGAAACTCAGGAACCAAACTTGTAACTTCATTTTTAATTAATGTAAATTTAAATAGACATATATGGCAAATGGCTGTGGTTTTGGACAGCACAGCTATACAGTAAAAACCACATTTTTAAATCACATGGTCCTTTTCTAAAACAATGACAAGCTCTATATTCACTTACTTATCACATGGAACATTCTGTAAATAGTCTCATTTCTAGAACATTGGAAGATTATTAGTAACTTCCTTCTGGTGATTTATTAACCAACTTCAAATCACTCTGAAAAATACAGATTTTTGACCCAACTGAACTGAGAGTTCTACTTTTTCAAGATGGAGGATACATATCTTTAATAGAACCCCTTCTTTCCCAAGGCTTACACAGGTAGAAGATTCTGAAGTAGAAATAAAAGGCCGGGGCTGTGTGAATTCAGAAGGGACTACCAACATGACATAGTTACAAAAAGGCAGAGAACAGCAGGATCCCAGTCTGTGTTACTAATCACTTACTCAAAGATGTTTTCTATTTTGACTTTTTCTAAGCATCTTTCTAGCATTAAGTTTTTTAAATGCTGCTGCTACTGCAATTCTATTCTGTTACTTACAATTTCACTTTGTGAATGGTAGAAATTTATAGCAGCTCATAATGACTAATGACATAATTCTCATTCCGCAATGAAGTCCTTTATTAAAATTTCATCTTAGTTTATAAGCAGAGATAGAATTATGAAAACAGATGACTTTTTCTAGGCCATTGATAAAAAACATTGATTTCAGATACAGTGATCAAAAGACAAGCTTATAATAAGCTTTTACTTACTGACCAGTTTTTAGAAACTCTGTTGGGGAAGCCCAGTTTTAGAATAATGAGACTGATCCCATAGGCCACTTGATCCTTGAAATCACTTTCATGTATTCATATACCTTATCTTCAAAGAGTTCATTTAATCAACCATCCTAGTTCTCTGAAAAGCAAAGAAATGACTCAAGACTATGAACTGTAACTGAAAATGATTCCAAGTAAGTATAATATAAATAGCTCAGCTCAGCTCATTATCATTATGGAAAAAAATAAATCCAAGAATAGCTATTATGCAGGTAATTGAACCAAAGGGTACATATGCTGCCCCACTTCAGATTTTTCAAGTTCCACGGTAATAATACTGTCTTTCTCACATAGATAAAGAAATGTGCCAAACATGACTCCGATTACGTCAGGAACAAAACCACAAAATTTATCTGATAGAAAGGAAGTAATCAGTGTACTACAAATATCAGCCTGGTTGCATGGGGTGACTGATATCAGCAATCCAGAAAGGAGAACAGAATTAAGAAAGGAATCCCACAAAACTGCAGCACTGTGTGAATTCACCCTCCCTGAAGGAGAAGGCAGATATTGCGTTACAGAGAGGAAAGGTCTCTGGGTAAGAGGAAGTGAGACATAGTAAACTCAGGTTATTTTGTGCTTAGACCTCATCAACAGTGTCCCACTAGAAGGAATCTGAGGTACCTGAGTCCACGGTTCCCAGTCCATGTGCCTCCACTCTAACCAGATGAGCCTATTTTCTGCTCTCTTTACTCTTAGCCTACCCGATTCAGTAGTCATGGCAAGAGGGGGTACAAAGCAAATTGTAAAAGAAGAAAAGAATGATGGGATAGTTTTTAAGGGAGAGGTGGGATTTTCTCACAACTTTTTTTTTTCAATAATTTCAAATCTAGTGTAAAGCTGAAAGATGAGTATACCTTTCAAGCATGTTACATGCACCAATCACTAACATTTTTTTGCCACTGAAACAAAAACACTTCACACAGGGTTAAAGCCATCAGGGAATGCCTCTACTAATGATGATACCATGAAGATTAGAGTTAACCAAGCCAAGAAAGGGAGAAACATGCCAGGCAAAAAGAAGCACATGAATAAAAGTCCTGAGTTAGCCAAAGGCTTCCACTGTGGCAGCACCAATGGTGAAAGCAGCAAAGGCCAATCTCATAAAGCCTTTGAGCCATGTACAGCATTTAGATTTCAGTCCGTAATAAAAACTCACAGGAGAAAGGGGAGAAATTTTTCATGATTCAGGTTTTTAAAAATTGCTCTATATCTAGGATCTGCTTCAAAATAATCTAAGTGTGGAGGTGGGAGTGGATGGAGTCACAGACAAAATAAAATTGTACTGAAGTTGGGTGATGGATACAAGAAAGTTTATTTTACAACTTTCTAGTTTTCTATGTTTCACATTTTCCTCATTTAAAAAGGAATAACAGGCCGGCGCTGCGGCTCACTAGGCTAATCCTCCACCTGCGGTGCCGGCACACTGGGTTCTAGTCCTGGATGGGGCGCTGATTTCTGTCCCGGTTGCTCTTCTTCCAGTCCAGCTCTCTGCTGTGGCCAGGGAAGGCAGGAGGATGGCCCAAGTGCTTGGGCCCTGCACCCGCATGGGAGACCAGGAGAGGCACCTGGCTCCTGGCTTCAGATCAGCACAGCGCGATGGACGCAGCGGCCATTTGGGGGGTGAACCAACGGCAGGAAGACCTTTCTCTCTGTCTCTCTTTCACTGTCTACCTCCACCTATCAAAAAAAAAAAAAAAAAAAAAAGGAATAACAGGATGGGAAGATCACTTTGGTAGCCCTATGAGGCTATCACTATACTTCAGACAAGATAATGGCACCTTCGACTAAGCTTGTGGCAAAAGACACAAAAAGTACTCTTCAAGAAAACTGTAAAATCTAGAAAGCTTTTAAAATTCTAAACTTTTTTTAAAACAAGCATCTTTGTCAACCTTAATCCAAACAAATGACCACTCTGTAAGTCTCATGACATCTGTGTGATTTCTATTATTACTCATTTTTCTAACCAGAAACCATGACTTTTAGTGTAATCACGTTCATTATTTAAGGCAACATTTACATTTAATAATAAAATTGAATTTATCTGTACATCTTCTTTCTAATACTTTTCATTAATTCAAAGTTCAATTTCCACTTAAAAGCCTGCACTAATATTTTAACTTTTTATAATTAAAAATTATATGCATATTACAGAAAGCACTAGATAGTCAAGAGAAAGAAAAGCTAAGGTCAGTTTTCTCATTCATAAATGTAGAAGTTACACCAGATTGGGGCCGGTGCTATGGCATAGCTGGTAAAGCCGCTGCCTGCAGTGCTGGCATCCCATATGGGCGCTGGTTTAAGTCCCGGCTGCTCTACTTCCAATCCAGCTCTCTGCTATGGCAGTAGAAGATGGCCCAAGTCCTTGGGCCCCTGCACCCGGGTGGGAGACCCAGAAGAAGCTCCTGGCTTCAGATCAGCGCAGCTCTGGCCATTAGGGCCATCTGGGGAGTGAACCACCTGATAAAAGACCTCTCTCTCTCTCTCTCTCTCTCCCACTCTGCCTCTCCTTCTTTCTCTATGTAACTCTTTCAAATAAATAAATCTTAAAAAGAAAAAAAAAGAAGTTACAACAGATGATCTAAAGTTCTCTGGCTCTAATATTTAGTGTCTATGGGTATTGAAGAAGGCATTTATTTGCCTTATAACAAGCCAACAGTCAATCACAATACTTAACAAGTTTTTAAATGCAAGTTCATGATCTACTTCATACCTTTTGATAGACTAACAAATTTAGCTCCTGAGTTGTGATGTGAAGGCCTATGGCACTCCAACCAATGGTCCTTTCCAAATTTCTTTTTCAACTATCAAATAGAATAGTTTAGAAAACCTAACTTACAAATCAAAACCATCCTTTCTGAACAGCTCCTTATTTGGTTTTTGACCTGTGATTACTCCTGCCTATGTACCCTGGGGCCATTATCCATATTTAAAATGTAATTCAGCTAATATTTGCTGTGAAAACAGAAAGACTAGCCCCCAATCTTCTCTTAAAAAAAAAAAAAAGCATTACTGAGATGTAAGACACATTAAACTCATTCATTTAAACTATAGCAACCCAAAGGGTTTTGGTATATTGCGATATTTACTTCTTTAATCATGATGAAAGATATATAAAATTTTCCAATTTAACCATTTTTTTTTTTTTTTTTGACAGGCAGAGTGGACAGTGAGAGAGAGAGACAGAGAGAAGGGTCTTCCTTTGCCGTTGGTTCACCCTCCAATGGCCGCCGCTGCAGCCGGCGCACCGCGCTGATCCGATGGCAGGAGCCAGGAGCCAGGTGCTTTTCCTGGTCTCCCATGGGGTGCAGGGCCCAAGCACCTGGGCCATCCTCCACTGCACTCCCTGGCCATAGCAGAGAGCTGGCCTGGAAGAGGGGCAACCGGGACAGAATCCGGCACCCCGACCGGGACTAGAACCCGGTGTGCCGGCGCCGCAAGGTGGAGGATTAGCCTATTGAGCCACGGCGCCGGCCTCAATTTAACCATTTTTAAGTGTACAATTCAGAGGCACTAATCACATCCCAATGTTGTACAACAATCACCATTATTTCTCAATCAATTCTTAATAGTCAAAACTTTTGAAACAGTAATTCTACTTCTGAACTGCTTTCTGGAAAATTTATAAACATGAAGTAGAGTCCAGTATAATACATGTTCTCAATAGGGCAATAATGTCCCCCAGGGGCAAAAAAAAATCTCAAATAATGGCTTATTATTCTTTAAAGCTTAACCTTACCTGAAAAGATCTTATCTGTGGTATTTAATTTTTCTTTCTAGAGAGAAATTGATTTGAAATTAAATTAAAAATCTTTTCTTTTAGGTGTAGCAATGAAAAAAAGCTTAAGGAACACTGCTACACAATACACAAGAAAGCTCTGTTACTCAAAATGTAATATACTACACAGACAATGCCCAACCTGCAAATAGTTGTGCACCACTGAAACCCAAATGAAGTCCAAAATTACCAGTTATCCCACAAGAACCTATTTTATTGAAAACTTTAAATAGAATAGCAAGAACAACTCTCTTATAATTTTAACATTCAAAGCAGAAAAAGCAAGCACACTGGCTAGAAAATTGTTTTAAATGTATCCTAAATGCTGATAATTAAGGAAGTCTTTTGGCTACGATCAAGGTCATACCTGCTTCTCATCAGTACAATATCTAGGAAAAATAAAGAAAACATAAAACAAGAATGAAGTAAAGGGAAGAAAGGCAAAGAACGAGAAAATAAGGGTAGATTCTGCCATCATATAATCCTTATAATCTTGATAGTGCTGCTGTGTGATTATCTATCATCTATCTCCTCTTCCGTCTCTCTCATTCTTAGGTGTAAGCCGCATGAAGGTAACGTCCAAATCCACCTGCCTTTCTCATCACTGCATTCCCAGAGCCAAGCACAATTCCTAGTTCATGGCAGTCATTCAACTATCTGATGTACAGGAAAAGGAAAAGAAAATAAGGAAAGCAACAGGAGAGGCAGGGAAGCAAAGTAAAAAAGAAGAGTTCCCATAAGGATGAAAGAGAAATTATCTGAATTAATAACATTATGAAAGAAACTGATGAGAAAGATGAGATGAAAAGCATGGTAAAGTTGCTCTGTGTTACTCAGTTCACTCTGTGAGCCATCAGGTAACATTACTAACCCAAGAAAGCCTACTGCTGTTTTTCCCACAGCCTCTTTTCTCTCCCATTCAGGTACTGGGAGAGAACACTCCCATAGACATTGGAATAGAGGAGTAAATAATGAAGAAATACCTATACTCATCCAATGATTTTCCTTTTTTTTTTTTTTTTTTTAAGATTTACTTTATTTATTTGAAAGACAGAGTTACAGAGAGAGGTGAGATAGAGAGAGAGGTCTTCCATCCGTTGGTTCACTTTCCAGTTGGCCACAATTGCCAGAGCTGCGCCGATCCAAAGCCAGGAGCCAGAAGCTTCTTCTGGGTCTCCCACGCGGGTGCAGAGCCCCAAGGACTTGGGCCATCTTCTACTGCTATCCCAGGCCATAGCAGAGCTGGATCGAAGAGGTGCAGCCAGGTCTCAAACTGGCGCCCATATGGGATGCCAGCACTTCAGGCCAGGGCTTTAATCCACTGTGCCACAGTACCGGCCCCCATGGGATGATTTTCTACCATAAGACTGCTAGATATTGCCATGCTTCTGGCCTCTACATGTTATGTCCCACAAGATTCACGAACTTGAACAGAATATTAAGACACCTTTATGATCCACTACCATAATCTTAGGTGTCCTGAAATCAGTAAAAATTATGTTTTGTAGATAATTCTGCAAAACTACAAATTTACACACACAAAAAAACACTTTCTTTGTGAAAAACTATCTTGCTATCAAACGATCATTTCACAATTTTTTTCAAGCATTCATGTAATAAGTAGAGGTAGTTAGGTAAGTAACATACTATATCATATTTGCATGAAATCTTGTCCAAAGTAAAAAACAATGAGCTATTATAATTTCTAGTTATTTTAATAAGAAAATGTAAGCACTTATAAACCACAACACAATATCCCAACCAAAATTACTATTATTCACCACCAGATGGTGATCATGTCTTATGTAAAGCAAAATTCTGGCACCTTACTTGGGGGCCAGTAAGCAGACTACTAAAAATAATCATAAAGCAAACCAGACTGTCTAAATAAAATGCTGGTGATTTCTGATGATTTTTAAGTATGATCAAATGAAACATCAGCAAAATCAAACACTAAAAAACAGGTTCCATCTGAAGACTTCTAAAGGAATTATCTGTCCATGTAAGTATTTGAAAATCTAAAGTAAAAGAAAAAGACAATGATGTGTGTGCTTCTGGTAATCTTGCATTGGTTAT